TATATATATAGTTTAATGGTTTGTTCTTCTTGTTAATTGTGTCAGAATATGAACAGAGAACATCTGCAGTTCTTCAGAGAACACCGGTGGAAATGTTTGATGTTACAGGGTCAACATTCCTGCTCTTCATCTGCTGCCCATCTGCACATCAATTAGACATGATGTTCTAATAAAAACTGAAAAATAATGAGATYGTGTCTTTTAGCTGGTGATTAAAACCAGCTAACTTGTTAAAATAAAAGCACATTGAATCATTGTGAATGGGGTCTTGTTGAAAAGTTATGATTCAACAGAACTGAGCTTCACTTCATGTTTTTCTAAAAGTTTTTTTTCTTTTTAAAGAATTCAGTTGGTGCAGATTTCTAGCTGCTGGTTGGGGTTAAAGGTCACAGAATCACTGAGGGCAGGGGCGGAGCCATAGGGGTGGTCAGGGTRGCACCTGATTGGTCACTTCAGGTGCCACCCCCAATGACTGACAGGTGTTTGGGGGATGTTGGATTTTAACATTCAGATTTTCTACTACTGTATAATACAAAATTTCTGCTGTGTATGCTCAAAAATTKCTGAATGTCAAATTAACATCAGCATTAATGGTTAGCTTAATTTGGGATTAGCATTGGCAATCATCTTGTGGTTATTCTTAGTACACGCCACAACAAATAAGTCTTAAAACGACTAAATTATAGCCTTGTGAAGTTAGCCGTGGTGCCGTTTTGAATTTTTGAATATTTAGAATTTCGTAGATTGTTTAAGGGTAATTTTGCACTAAAAATGGCTGACTCACATGAAGTTGCGACTAGCATTCAGCATGTTTTTTTGATCATTTTCAAAATTTCAGCTTAATACTTCTTAAAACAGCTGAATTAAAGCCATTTCGAATTTTTTTTCTCTATTTGTATGTGGCCCCCATAAAAAACAAACTTGACCACCTCTCGCAAAAAAGTCTAGCTCCGCCCCAGACAGATCATAAAAACAAACATTTCCTGCACAGAGAAGGAAATAAAAACCACTGACTGTAGTTCTTTTATTGTTTTATTTCAAACTCAGGTCGACAGCGTACATCGTTCGTGTCCTCGTTCAGCCCAGTGGAACGAGCGGCTGTAGGTCCCAGAGCGAGTCTGCTCAGCAAACGGGCCACGGATTGATACAAAAAAAAAATGTCCGCCGTCCGCGACATCACAGGAATCACTCCAAGTTAAATCCACACGAGGGCAAAAAATAATAATAAAAATACAAACATTATTTTAAATTCAAATTAATCTACAACTAAAAACATAACTCTTAAATTATCAAACACAGAGGAATCTGGACTGAAGAGGGTCTGTTTGGATCAACACCAGGAGAACGCAGTGCACAAAGTCATGAAGGAAAAAAAAAAGATGAACTAATAATGAAAACTGTCCGTCTGGTTCATGATGCTTCTTAGATTTGGGCGCCAGTTTGATTTGTTTGAACCTGGTCCAATTTGAGGCACTTTTTATGTTTCTGGTCGCGCTCATCGATCACCATAAAATGGCTTTTAAAGTCCTGACATGTTCAGGTGATTGTGTGCACAAGAACTTTGTATAATTTTGTGTGTTTTGGTCCCAGTTTTAATCTCGCTGGAAAAATAATAATTAAAAAATAAACATGCTAAAAGGGTCAAAATATGAGGAAAAACTTAAACTGATTTGACTTGTTTTGTTTGTTCAGGTTTAAGAAGTTTATTTCTTTTTTATTTAACTTTTAGCTCCTGATGACGCTGCAGTACATTTCAAAAGCAGATAATTGGAACGCAGCCGTCATCAATGCACCTGTGCTTCATCTTTCACGTCAGCTGTATTAAAGAATTTGTTATATTTACTTTACTTCTCATGTTGTTCTCAGGTTTCAGGCGGTGCACGTCTGCAGACTTTTTAACGGTTGAATCTGAAAAGCCATCATCCATCGTGCAGCTCTGCGTGTTTTTCTCTCCCCCTGCAGGGACCTCAGACACTCTGAGCAGCGAAGTCTTTGAAAGCTGAGCGATGGGGGAAACCCACCCATCAGAGGTGGAACGGAGGTTAGCTTCTGATCTGCACAGCGTGAGAATTTAAAACAAAGAAGATGAGGGGTCTACGGGGAGGTGAGTGATGAGCACCAGTTGTTTCCAGAAGCACCTCRCGGCTAGTTAAAACAAGAGAAACAGGAGGAAATCAAAAGGAGCTACATTTTGTACCGGCTCATGTTTAACTCATCTGAACTCCATCAAACTGGTGGAAAAAAAAAACCTTCAGGAAACAGAACAGGATCATAACGTCACGGTGCATTCCTTTAAATCTGGGACTAAACTGAACACAGCAAATATAAACTGCTTGAGGTCAACACTCTGACCGATGATTGTACTGTGAAGGGCTTACCGGAGAGCAAGACCTAGAAAAACCTGACTGAGTAGAGTCTGAGCCGAAGGTTTCAGTTACACGCTACAATCTGATAATAATAATAATAAAAAAGAAACTCAATTAAATAACAGCATCATTCCTCAAAAGGTATTTATACACAGCACGGTTTTCCAGAAGTCACTGTGAGAGCGGGGGGGGCACCGATGTGAGAAACACGAGTCTTTGCCGTCCTGAGTCACAGCGGGGATTATTGGAGACGAGGAAAGGGGGGCGGGGCATCAAAGACAAAAAGGCCCACCTCTCACAGGAGCAGCTGTGCTAACGGATGAAAACAAAAATGAATCAGTCCGGTTGGATTTGCTCGCATGTTTGGGAAGTAAACGAGCGGATCCCTCTGGGCTCTCAGAGGGAAACCAAAACTGAACACGGTGGTGAGGGAGGGTCTGGATGCTGCAGCTGGAACTGGCGTGGTGAGTACGCTCAGGGAGGGAGGGTCTTAACTGCGAGGCAGGCTGCAGATTTCACAGTGCTCTGTGCCGGGCTGGTTCATGAAGGTGCAGTGGAGGCACGACCACATGGCTGAGGAGGAGGCGGGGGCCGAGGGGCGGCCCATGGCCTCGTAACCCAGAGAGCCGGAGGGCTGCCCGCCGACTGTGCCTGCAGGGATCAGAGGGACATTACAGGACGTTACCACACACCTACAGTCAGTGACAGTGCTCACAGGGAACAGAGAACCCAGTGCAGGCTCTGGAAGCCTCAGTAAACCCACAACAAGTTAAACAAAAACATCATCTGTTTGGATTTCACTGCAGAAATGGACGGGATGAAAGGGTGAAGTTGTGACGTTTGTTCAGTTAAATTTAGCTTTTAAAGAGGCAATATGCTGAGGAGCAAAACAACAGGTGGGGACCAGAAACGCCTCTGGGAYGTGTCTTTAGCCAAACTTCCTCATGGCAGAGCGCACCCCCTCCCCACACAACCCGCCCATGACTCCTGCAGGCTCTCGGGTCAAAGTGAAAGTGAAACCTAACTGTCTCAACATTACTTCTCACTCAGTGAAGCTCTTTTCAGATTAAAAACACCTTTGAGGAAATGTATTTTCAGATGCCAAGTAAACTGCAGCATAGCGC